CTCCAACTAGTCTCCCTATTTCGGTCACAGCAAATTTCTGAAAATGTCAGTCAAATGATACCACTCTTCATCTTCTTCCCCAACATATCTTTTACTCTCTCCTTTCTTAGTATTTTACTCTCTCCTTTCTTCCTAGTCTCTGTTCAATACCATTTTATTAAAAGTACTTCCCATAAACGTTCCTAATAAAATATAATTAGTTCTCTCTCATCCTGCTATATAAATTCTCTTAACCTGATGAATCCTTTTCCTTAGCACTTATTAACATTGGTATTTTAAACTCACAGTCTTTCCTTTGCACATGGTACAGGACTGTACAAATGATGGTGGCCACTGGAGCCCTGGAAAGTGATCTTCTCCATGGCCAATGGGAAAAAATCATTTTTGTGATAGTCATAATAAATTGTCAAAATATTAGACATTGTCACATCATCTGCTACAACTATTCTTCTTTCTTCCACTTGTGCATGGACCTTAACTATATTTTCAGATATAAATATTGATAAACCAAATTTTTGAAAGATTTTGTAGGGTTTTTTTTCCCTATTTCAGTGTTTGTACTCATTTACCTTATTATGTATTGGTGCATTTCCAAGTGCTATGCATTGTTTTGTTATGTTTCAATGTGCTGTGCGTGGGAAATTTCTATCACCTCATAGCTCAGCTCACTAATTTACTATTTTATTATAGATAATCAGCTAATCAACTTATCTTTGTAACTTTTTAAATGTAGCCTTAATTATGTTTTTGTTTTCAAGCTCCTAATTAGTTGTTTTTCCTATGTACATGTTCTTATTTTCTGCTTACCTATTCTTGCTTTATAACTATCTGTTATTGTCCCATGTACACTGTTAAACAATTTATTTTTCTTTCTTTGTATTTACAAAAGTATATTCATGTATATTCATTATAAAGAATTTTTCACATTGCATTTTTTTCATATTTTCTCAGGTGCAATGTATTTATTTTCATTGGTCTTTCTTGTTTTAAGTTATTGTTATTTTTAAATTCATTATAACCTCTTGATATATTGAGTTTTTAAAATGTATTGTATACATTCAGTCACTACACATCACTTAGCTTGTAAAGTGAATTTACCCAATATATAATACACTTCACACCATTTCAGTTGAGGATACTATACATGTTATCATCAACAGGTAGTAAACTATTTCTATGTCTCAAAAAATGTCTTGCCTCTCTATTTTTCTCCCTAATTTCCCTCCATATGCTCTCCCTCTTTCCCACCCTCCTTCCATACTGTCACCAGTGTCCATAACTATTTTCAATGTTTTTATGTCATCCAATCATTCAGTCTTTACCACAGTGTGATCAGTCAATATATGTTAAGTGGAGACATACAATGTCTCTTTTTCATTGCCTGGCTTGCTTCGCTCAGCAAACAATTTTTCTTATTCATTCACTTTTGTATCAAGAGCCAGGGTCTTTTTTATGGCTGAATAGTATTCCATAGAGTATATGTGCATACATTTTCGATCCATTCATCTGTTCATGGACATTTGAGTTGATTCCATTTCCTAGCAATTGTGAATAATGCCACAATAAACATAGATGTGCAAGCACTTTTCTGACTGAACATTCTCCTTTCCTTTGGGTAGATACCCAGGAGTGGAATTCCTGGATTATATAGTAGTTCTATTTGTAGGTCCCTGAGAAAACTCCATATTGTTTTCCACAGTAACTGGACCAATTTACATTCCCACCAACAGTGTAGGTGAGTTCCCCTTTTATCACAGTCCCACCAACTCTTATCATTTTTTTTTTTTTTTGTATTTTAAATCTTCACCATTCTTACAGGGGTTAGATGGTATCTCAATGTGGTTTTGATCTCCATTCCCTTATGATGAGGGGTGTTGAGCATTTTGTATATGTTTTTTGGCTGTTCATATGTCTGCCTTAGAGACTTTTTTGTTCAGCTCATTTTCTCAACTTTTAATAGGGTTAATAATTTTGGGGTGGGGATAAACTGCTTGAGTTCCCTGAATATTCTGGTTATCACTCCCTTATCTGAGGCATAGTTTACAAAAATTATTCTCCCATTCCAAGGGTTGTCAATTCACACTAATTACTGTGTCTTTTGCTGTGCAGAAACTCTTTAATCTGATATAATCCCACTTGTCCATTTTTAGGATTATTGCCTGTGTTTGGGGGTCTTATTTAAGAAATCTTTGTCTACCCCAATGTCTCCCAGAGTTTTCCCAGTGTTTTCCACAGCAGTTTGATAGTTAAAAGTCTTAGATTTAGATCATTGATCTGTTCTGAGTTGATTTTTGTTGATGGTGAAAGATAGGTGTCTAGTTTTATCTTTCTGCAGGTGGACAGTCAGTTTTTCCAGCACAGTTTGATAAAGAGGTTTTTCTTTTCCCACTGGATTGACTGGTACCCTTTGTCAAAAATCAGTTAGCTGTATGTTTTGGGGTTGTGTTATATTTTTGTTTCCCAAATCTTAGGTGATACTTACCTGCACAGACATCTTTTCAATAGTGATGCTTTATGTAATTATAGGTAACCAGGGTCTTGTAGACCTTACACCTGCTCAAACCTGCTGTGGTGCTTATAATTTGGACTATGGTTGGTTTATGCTTTCTCTTGAAGATTCTTCTCCATTCCTATAAAAGAGAGTTAAAAGTAAAGATTCTGGAGTGTGGCAGCCTATGTTTCCAACCTAAAAGCCTGGCGACCTCAGTGAATTCATTACTTTCTGGGAACCCCTGGTTTCCTCACCTATAAAATGGGGTTCATGAGGTTAGTATGGACATTTTTCTTCTTTAATTTGCCCAAAGGTACATGTATTATACAGAGAGTAACAGAGAGAAAGGTACAGAGAAAGAGAGAGAATGCAATAAAGCATGATCGATGGGACATGGTCATACTGAAAACCCTTGTCCTCCATTTCTCACTTTCTTCAGGATTTGGGGCAGGCATGCGTACATACTCAACATGTTTCTCAAGCTACGGGGTCTGCAACTTGATCTACATGGTCAAACATGTGGGATCTAGCTGTCTGAGCCACCAGGCCACATGCTGGCTCCACTTTGGAGATTTAAAGACTTAGCTAGAAACGGTGTCTGGAGCATTATACATATTCAAAAAATGATAGCTGCCAAAATTTCTTCATATTATACATGGATTTATAGCTTGACTTAAAATGTAAGACAAGATAGAGATATTTATAATATACTTTAATTATTTTCTTTTACTTTCCTGTGGGTTTGTACCAGATCAGGAAGATTTCACAATAGGCACATGTGCCTCATTGAAAGAGGAATTTGGATGAAAATATGGTATGTGTCACAATTTCATTTGAGAAATTCTAATGAGAGAGTAGGGACCTGAAACCTACCATGTGTCCTAACTTCCTAGTCACATCCATGATGGGGCAAGACCATTTCTCCTGACCAGTGCTATTTCTAAGACAAACTCCTTATTGGATACAAGAACCACGACGTACAAGTAAGGAAGTTTGCATGCAGTGTATTGTGTTATTCCAACTACATCTCCATGGTTTGCATGTTTTAACTTCTCTTGGCAATAAGCCTGAGGCTCAGAGAAGTCAAGTGTCATATTGAAAGTCACACAGCAGGATACTGTAGGTGGTGGAGTAGAGCATATCTTTCTGATTCTCCTGCTGATAGGGATCTAAGGATATGAGTTTGATAAGGGTAAAAGAAATCCCAAAGGTCCATACTTTGGCCAGGCAGGGGAATGGTGACGGGGAATTTTCAGAAAGAGGGGTGCTGGGTTCACATCTTAGTGTGGTCCAGATCTGAACTGGAAGGTTGCATCCCATGCTCTGCCCTACCCAGCTCCAGTCACTCACACCAAGGGGTGTGTAGAAAAGCACACACACCTCTGGCAGCTAAACCTGATGACACAACCAATCTTTATGGAGAATGGCTTCCACCTCCATAGATAAACAAAAAGTAGATGCAGAAGATCCCCGAGGTAGTGACTCATTTGAGTGTGGCAGGGAAGGTCCAGGGGCACCCTATGAGCTGGGTCCCAAGAGGTCCACAGAGCTGAGAGAAAGCCAGCCACAAGCAACTGGCTCTAAGAAGTGGGGGGTCTACCTCAGCAATACTTGAGTCTCTTCTTCTGGAACCTGGAGTCTCAATACCAACCTAGTGGGTTTCCAGGGTTGTTGTAGTCACTATCTCCTTTCATCTCCATTAAAACACTACAGGGAGAAACTTGTTATCTCCAAGTTAGAGATGACGAAGCTGAGCCTAGAAGGGTCTAGAGACTTGCTCAGCAGTTCAGCACAGCAGTGAGATCAGAGCACTCGCCCTTTCTGTCTCCTCAGCTCTCATCTACACCCAACGGTGAATGGAGTAGGTGCAATCCCTGCAGTACCAAGAGTACTGAGACTGACATCACTGTCCCGCCCCTTGTCCCAGAAACTTGCCCACCATGTTTTCCCCAATTATAACTCTATCCCTTCTCTATAATCTATAATATCCACCTGGCCCCACATGACATATATTTATTTCTCTAAATCCACTTTCTCTCCTGAAAGAAATCAGAAAACAATTCCTTGCTAGGTGTCCACACATACAAGTTCTCAGATCCACAGTAGACTGCACTGGGGCTAAATTTTGCCAGTACTGTGTGCAAAGGGTTGGAAAGGGGAGCAGATCTTGCTCTTCTCCAATGTCCACAGGTCCTGGGAAACTTTCTTCATGACTACAGCTGAGCAGCTCTCGTTGAGGCTAGTTTAGCAAGAGGAGCTAGGGCACAGCTATGACCACAGAACCTCCTTGATTTGGGGCTCCCCAGTAGAGGAGTATCAAGACTATAAGATGGGGTGACAGGATCAGTGCAGTGAGCACAGGCCTTATACAGGGAAGAACCATGACTTCCAGTGGGTGGGCCTGTGGGATTGCAATAACAAACCTCCACCCCTTGAAACCAGTTCTAGCTGGTTTTTATTTAGCTGCAAGTTATATCCCACACCATCACAGCCACTTCCGATTGCATCACATGAGGCAGAGCTTTTCTTCTCTCTGCAGAGTACAGTGTAGACTCTCCTAGTACAGACTCCTAGACCAGACAGGCTCCTTAGCTCTTCAGAATGCCTGTCCCTACCTGGTGGCCCCACCCTGCTCCTCCTTTCCTGTTGCTGATGCTAATGCTGGGACTCACAGGTAAGTGTCACCTAGAGGTAGAGTCCCTTCTCTCTGCCCCAGGGGCCTACCCTGACTCTGAACAGTCGGGAGCTTCAGACAAACACAGGATTCCCAAGGGCTGGCATTACCTCAGGGTATATTATAAGGGACTCGAGTGTTTTCTCTGTGGATCCCTCACCCCTAGCAAGTTCTGGAGGCATCAAATCAATGTTGCTTTCAACAATAACAGCACTTACTTACATCTTGGTAATGTTCCTGTTGAAGAAGCACTTTTCAGAGAAGTCATTAAAATCCTTACAAGTTTAAGGCAAGATGACTTGCCCAAGGGTGCAGAGTGAGCTCAGAGATACCTGACTTGGCTCTGACTCCAAGCCCAGTGTACTCTGGTCACCACCCCAAGGACGTGGAGTCAGAAATGGTGCCTGCTTGAGTTGGAGAGGAGTTAGTGCTTCCCGGGGCCCTGTCAGCCACTATCTTTCCTCCATGTGGCTCCTCACTCTGCCCTCTGTCCCCCTAATCCTGTCTGCCCTATGGTGTCTTCCCACCCATTCCTCTGCGGCCTCCTCTAAGAGAAGTTCCACACCTTCTGCTGGTACTGCGTCCTGTACTGGGTGACCTGGGCCGCCATAACACAGCAGCACAGACCAGATGGCTGAAACAGGAAGCATTTTGTTTCTCATTTCTGGTGGCCTGAAATCCAAGGTCAAGCTGGAGAAAGTCTGCTTTGTTCTGTGGCCTCTGTCCTTGGTGTGCAGCTGGCCACCTTCTCCTTGTGTCTTCACATGATCTTCCCTCTGTGTATGTCTGTGTCCTAATTGGTTCTCCTTATAAGGGCTTCAGGATCATTGGGTTAAGGTTCACCCTGATGACATCTCTTAACCCTGTCTACATATACAGTCACTGGGGTTAATGCTTCGACAAGTTTATGTTGTGGGTACACAGTTTAGCTCTCAACAGATTCCTGTAACAGTCTGGTCCTATTGACTTTTCACGGACAATCTACTTACCCTTATACCCAGATCAGGCAGGATTGAAGGAACTTTCCTGGGGCAGCCTGAGAGAGACGGTGCTCACAGCTCCCGGAAAGGCTGCCTGTCCTCACCCCCTTCTCCAGCCATGGAGCCGACCCCATGGTCTCAGGCCTGAGATTCAGCTCCCCGTCCCCCGCCTCCCTCACCCCACTGCTCTCCACTTGGTCCTGCTCTGACGCCACTTCAGAGATCCTAGTGGACAGGGATCACACTTGTTAAATTATCCGTGTTGCACATAACACTGTACCCAAATAACACCAGGAGCAGTTACTGAGCCCTCCCACTGAGGCAGTGACTTATTTTAGCACTTCGGACCTATTAGCAAATCTAATGCTCACCATGTCTCTTTGGGACTACTGCTACTCTTACTCCTCATTGGTATATGGGGAAACTGAGTCAAAGGAGGAACTTTCAGATGGAATTGAATTCATTCCAACTCCAGACTTTATTCTTTTAACCTTGCTGCACTACTAAATTCTCAGTGAAAGATTCAGGTCAGGAAAATCAGAAAATTCAGAGTAACAAAGGACAATCATTGCCCATCCTGTCACTTAGAAATGACCAGAGCTTAAACTCTGTGTGCTCACAAACTTTTCTAATTTCTGTAAAATACCTTTCATACACACAGCCATGTCTTTTACTGGGATTTTAATGTGTATTATAATTTCATTTCCTCCCTTGAACAACCTGTATACTGACATAATAGAACGTGCTATTTTAGGGGCCAGCAGGTGGCATGATGGTTAAGGACACTGGACTCCCACATGGCTGACCACAGTTCGAGTCCTGGATCTGGCAGCTTGCTTTTTCACTTTCCCTCTCTCTCTCTCACTCTGTTCCTCTCTGATTAAAATCAATTTAAAAAGAACATGCTATTTTATATTTTTGTAATATAATTATTTATTTTATTTTATTTTTTCATTCATTTAATTTTTTTAATATATTTGTAATAAAACACATATATGTGTGTGTGTATGTCTGTATGTGTGCTGGCTTAGCATGCACACACACATATGCAAACACACACTTTTTATACTTTACTTTTACTGTTTATATACTCACAATAGGTTACTATTTTAGCTTTGCTAATGAAAGTAACTTTTTAAAAAGGTGATCTACTTTAAATAGCTATTATCTCTCACAGTTTTCCATTATTTTAAATATATATATATATATATGTATTTTAACATTTGTCAATTTCTTCAAAGAAAGAGATCGAGGGCACTGCGAACAGGGTTTGCCCACTGTGATTCCAACCCCACCTTAGCTAGCTGGGATCCCAGGCATGAGTGCACCTGCTGTGCACAGGGAGACCTCAGGAGGCGACCCTAGGGCCTCCCGGCCTAAGAGCAGCACAGCAGAGCTCTGCGCTGACACTGTGCTACCAGGGCTGGCCCTGAGTATGTCCTGACAGTTATCTTCAAGGTAAAAAACACGGCTGAGCCAGTGAAATCCATTCATGATAGAATAAGTGAGAGAATCCGAAATCTCTACCGTCCCAAACTTTGTTTGTAGAAAACACAGTCTTGGGCATATCATTAAAAAAGTCATTTTAAGTATGAACTTAATTCATAAAACGCTTATGTAAAAATAACCTGAGGACCAGCAGATGGAAGAATGGCTACATTGCTGGACTCTGACATGGCTGATGGCAGTTTGAGTCCCAGACCTGGAGGCCTGCAACCCATGCTGGATGTGTTGTCTGTGCTAAAGATCTTGAGAAGAGAATGGAGAAAAAGGGATTGTAATGTGGCCATCCCCCCGGGGGGGTGATTTCTCTCTTTCTGTTTCTCCAGCAAGCACATGTGCCCTATAACAAAAAAACTCTCAAAAAAAACTAATTTTTTTTTTTAATAAAAGACAAAACCAACCTACAACCCCTCCAAAGAGACTTCAAACACAAGTTTAAATAACAGGATAGTGGCGGGGGCGGGGGGGAGTAGAAAAAGAAAGGAAAATAATTTTTAGATGGAAAACTCATAAAAAAGAGGCACTAGTCAATCATCAAATGTAATTTTTTCCCCTGAAACATCGCAGACTGCTGTTCTTTCTGCCTCTTGCTTGCTTCCCATGAGGGATGAAGGGGCAGCTGCATGGCTGCTTTGGATTTTCAAGTCGTCTCTGTGTGCTCCTATTAAATCCATCCTTCACCTGAGGTTCATTTTGTGGAAAATCCAGAGCCTTGTTTTTTTTTTGGAGGCTGTTCTCTGTGATCTCTTCTAGAGCTTTTAGATCCAGCTAAGGAGTGGGAAAACATGGATTCTAACTTCCTGGCTTCTGGAGTTGACTTGCTTGTGTCATTTCTTGTATCCCAAAGGGCTCCGTGTGTGTCTTCTTTGAGTAACACTTTCTGGAGGGCTTTTTGTTCCTTAACTGAAGAATGGTCACTATTTTCCTTTTTTCATGTTCATCTGACTTTTCCAATGAAGAAGTCATTGCCACTGTCACTGTCCTCAGACATGGAAGACTGCTTGTAAAACCTTTCTTCTGGGGACCAGCAGCTGGCATAATGGCTATGTCTCTGAAATTCCATGTAGTTGACTGCCGGTGGCTTAAACTCATGCTGGGCGCATGTGCGTGCGTGCCCAAGATCCCAAGAGGAGAATGGAGGAGAAGGGATTGCAGTGTAGCCATTCCCCACTCGCCGCCCCCGGGGGGTGATTTCTTGCTTTCTGTCTCTCTGGTGAGTGCACATGCCCTATAACAAAAACCTCTCTAAAAACAAACAGACAAAAAACCTTTCTTTTGTACTATCATCAAAATACTCCTTCTCTTTATCTAATTCTTCTTCACTATCACTGTTATCATCAAATGAGTTATCAGACTTCCCCCCCTTTTTGTTTTTGGTTTTACTTAATGTTTTGTTTTGGTGTTAGAAGGTGTTTCAGGTGTCTTTTGGGGTTCAGAGGGCACTACAAAATCCTTTTCTGAAGACTCTGATGGAGAATTGGGTCCACATCCCATCTCGGCCACTTTCTCTTTTGGACTGTTGATTGGTTTCTTTGCCAGTACTTCGACTCCTCTCACTATGTGCTCACTGACAACAGCTCCTTCATGCTGGGGTTTACTTGCTCCACCACTTGAACACCAAGCAGCTTTAGAACGATTTTCTTCTAAAGTATTCTTTAATGACTCAACCTCAGGAGCATTCTGCCTTGCATCTTTAAAGGCTTGGGCAGCACCTTTCAGGGCATCTGTTTTTTTCTTTAGACAAGGATGTGTGGCTACTCTGGCGGTTGCTCTTTCAGCTGTGGTAGAAGCTGGCTTTTTACAGATTTCTTCCAAGTTGATGTTACCACCAAGTGCAGATTTAGTTACGACATCAGGTTTTCATTCCTTCATGGCATGGATTTCTTCCAGCAATTGTTGAGCCCAGCTTTGTCTTTTTAACGGTGCATCTTTGGTACCCTTTTTTGACTTCAGTCTCCCGACACTTCTGACAAGTTTTCAGATAACCAAAGCCCAGATTATCTTCCCCTCTTTTCTCATCTTCACAACCTTGTTACTGAGGTTCAGAGGGGCTGGCTGAGCCATGGTAGGTGGAGGAAGATCTCCTCAACACACACTTTAAAAAAAAAATTACGTTTAATCACTTACATCTTAACAGTGTACACCATGGTTTTTTTGCAGCATGAATACGGTGCATGGGATTTTTTAAAAAAAGGTTTTCTTACTATTCCCTTCATATGAGTTTTCAGTCTCCATGAAGTGAGCATTCAAAATAAGTTCAGTTTTCTCTGGTCTAAGCCAGCCTCACTCCTTTTCTACTTCCCTTACCCTACTCCAAGCTCTCCACGTAAGCATACCCTCTCTTTGGTAAAATGGGTTTTCTCTCCAAGCAGATCTCTCATGCATTGCAATCTTGGAATTCCTTCTTCCATGCAGAATAAGGATGAGGAAAGGCAGGGACAAAACGTGCAGAGACTCCTGCCTATATTGTCTATATCTACAATCACATCCATCTCTACATCCTTCTTCATATCAACATCCATATCCGTATCTTTATCTCCTAATGTCTGTTGGGGGCTCCATGACTCAGGACACCTACTGAACAATGGCTTTTCAATTTCTTGAACACTCACTATGTGCCAGGACGCTGGCAATGCCCACAGCTCTTATCCCACTTGGTCATCATATCCAAGGTGAACACTCATGTCACTCCCACCTTACAGAGTAGGAAACAAGCAGAAGGAGCCCCAAGTTCCTCAGTAGTAACAGAGCTGTGGTGTGAGCTCAGGCATTGCAACTCCAGAGTTCCCAGGTTTAACCAATCCCCTTCTCAAATGTCTGCGGACCTGGCTGTAGCCCAGGAGTTTTATGTAGCTTCTGCCAGTGGGTGTGGGGGAGGGTGGAATATGGGGGAGAGAGTCTGTGGTTTTCTTTTCCTAAGTTCTTCTGCTCTCTGCCTATATGCAAATTACTTTTATTTTTTCACCAAGTCATCTCTTTGGGTAATTCCGTTTCTGGCTTTTTCCGTAGAAATGATTTCCTTACAATAGACTTCAGTGTCCTAGGGAGGCATTGCATGGGAAGTTCTATAGGATGAGTGTGGTCTATTCTCTTCTGTTGATGTCGCGTGCTCACTTCCCCTTCTGCCATGGGATGATGCAGCACCAAAGCCCACCTAAATGTTGGAACCATGCTTTGGTGGCCCCAGACTCCAGAACTATGAGCCAAACACACTTTTATGGTTTGTAGAATATCGTCTGTGGTGTTCTTTTATAGCTACGTGAGTGGATAGACAAGTGCTCTATATTTTCTTCCAGATTTAAGAACCAACTGAATTGGGCCATAAATGAGAAAGCAGTGGGATAATCACCTCTTTACATTTTACATTTAACATTATTTTAACTCTACAAGGCCCTGTTGTAGCCTACATTGGATCATTTTAACTGTCTTAAGATTTATGGGGTTTGCTTATCAAGACAAGTCACAGATGGCTAAAACTTACTTTTAGGTTAATTTATTATTTATTACATTTCAGCATCTATGCTCAATATGGAACATTTTAGGGCAATTGGTACTATCACTTTGGGAAATTTAGACAACGCTACAGTTAAAGTGAGGCAAACCTATTTTTCCTCTAGTTTATATTAGATACCTTCTCCAGATTACAGGAGCACAGGCTCTGATTCAGTGAGATTCTCAGGCACATGGAGAATTAGATCCCAGGGTTGATTAAAGTTGTGTCAGTTTGTGTATTTTGTAAATGTTAAAGTTATGGTGTTGAGGCACAAAAGCCAGTCAGCACTCTTTTGGTAATTTTTGTTACAAAAATGTTTACTATGCAAATTTAGCACATAAATTTTGGATGTCCAATTAGATCATGCATAAAACTTTAATATACATACATATATATATATATATATATATACACACACGCACACAATTTATCTGTTGGGTTGTCTGGAAATTCATGACACTTTTTTGCATAGAAAAATATGTCATGACTTTCCCAACAAATTAACCTTTATCATTGATTTATAACATTATATGTTTGCATATATAATTTGTTCCCATTTGTTTTATTGCTTGTTTTTGTGTTTTATTATTAAATCTGCTAGGAATCATGCTTGTTAGATCTGGCATTTGTTCAGTACATTAGACACTATTGAGTGCCTAAGTATCTGAGTCCCTTTTTTTTTAGAATTATTTTTATTTAACTTTATTTATTTATTTACTTTAATTTGACCCGAGAGGGACAGAGTGAGAGATAGAGGAAGAAAAAGAGAGAGAGAGAGAGAGAGAGAGAAAGCAAGCTGCCTGGTCCAGGACTTGAACTGTGGTCAGCCATGTGGGAGTCCAGCATTGTGAACCACCACGCCACCTGCTGGCCCCTGTTTGATTCCTTTCTATAACTTCTCTCTTTGTTGATGTTCTCATCCTGTCAATGCATTGTTCTCCTATTTGCTTTAATTCTTTGTTCACATTTTTCTTTAGCTCAATGAGCATGTTGAGATGGTAGCTTTAAGGCCTTGGTCTAGTATGGCTGTGGGCCCAACATGTCCCTGGGGTCCTTATGAGAAACAGGAAGGAGATTCAAAGTTAGAGGAGGGCATGTGACAATGAAGCAAGAGGTCATAGAAATGGAAGGATGAGAATCACAGAAAAGAATGTGGGCAGCCTCTAGAATCTGGAAAGGCAAACACTGAAGCCTCTAGAAGACACATTCCTCTGCTTATATTGAGTCATCAGGAAAGTCATGACACTTTTTTTTTTTTTTGAGAGGTTTTTGCTATAGGGCGCGGGGGCTCACCAGAAAGACAGAGACGGAGAGAGAGAAAACAAGAAATAACCCCCCCGCCAGGGGGGATGGCCACACCACAATGCCTTCTCCTCCATTCTCTTCTCAGGATCTTGGGCATGCACGCACATGCGCCCAGCGTGAGTTTAAGCCACCGGGTACGGAGCTCAAACTGCGGTCAACTACAGGGGAGTTCAGTGACATAGCCATTACACTAACTGCTGGTCCCAAGTCATGACACCATTTTGCCTAGAAAAATACATCATGCCTTTCCTGATGACCAATAGATTGCATATATTTAAGGTGTAGGACACTTTAAAATTATATTTCTTCAAGGTGTACAACATGGTGCTTTGATATCCATCTGTAGATTGAAATGGTTTCTTGTCAGGCAAATTAACATATTTTCACATGGTTACCCTTTGTATGTGTGTGTGTGTGTGTGTGTGTGTGTGTGTGTGTTTGTGTGTGTGAGAAGGAAGAGATGACCTAAAATGCACTCTGTTTGGAAAAAATGCCAAACACAATAGAATACTCATGACTCTAGTTCTCACGTGCGCATCCTCATACCTGCCACTTGGAACTGTGACCTACATCTTTCTATTTCTTCCCTTCTCTCCACTCCTAGTAGTCATCACTTTATTCTCTAGCTCTGTCTGATTTCTTTTCTTGTTTAGTTTTTCCCTTGATTGTCCCTAATAACACCAATTTTGGATTTCTTACTTCCATAACATAAAATAATAAAATTTCCTTCTTTTAAGACAATATGTTGGTAGTAATTTGTCATACAATTTTAAAAACTAATGTAACATGATTATTCTGCAGGGAAAAGATCCTAGCCGCTCAAAACACCGTTTTCTTCCTTATTAAAGTTACAAGTACATTAAGTGTTGGGGGCTCTGTATTTCATTGTCCCTTAAGAATTTGGTCCAATAAGCAGACCCCCTCATGAGCCTTGGGGATCTCTGGGAGAGGCACGCTGGTGTGTGGAGGCTCCTGCAGTTCAGGGCGTGTCCCTCATCCATATCCATCGCTCTGCTCTCTACTCAGGGGTCAGGCAGAGTCACAAGGTCCCACTGAAGACAATGGTGCCGAAAGTGCCACACCATGTGGCCAGACAGTACAGAGACACAAATGTGTTATTTTATTTTACTTTGCTTTATTTTATTTTATTTATCTTTTAGAGAGGTTTTTGCTATAGGGCACGTGCGCTTGCCAGAAAGACAGAGAGAGACAGAAAGCAAGAAATCACCCCCAATGGGAGATGGCCATGTCACAGTCCCTTCTTCATTCTCCTCTCAGAATCTTGGGCACGCATGCACACCCACCTAGCCTGAGTTTAAGCCACCGGGTCCGGGACTCGAACCATGGTTGACTACAGGGGAGTCCAGCGATATAGCTATTATGCCAACTGCTGGTCCCCAGAGACACAAATGTTTAATGAAGCATGACAGCCAACAAGGGTTCAGGCACTCAACACACCCTCTTCTGTTTCATTTCACCTTATTGTGCCTCAGTTTCCCAATTTGTTATCATCTTACGTCACAGGTTCACAAGGGTTAAATGAGATAACACAGGCAGTTTCTGAGCTCACGGCCTATTGTGGTTGTGCGCTTGGTCATTGAAAGTTGTTGATAAAGACTTGAAAAAACATACAGGATCCATGAGGATGACCAATAGCTGCTTCGTGTTCCCTCCAGGAGTGGCAGATGAGCTGCAGGTGATTCAGCCTGACACGGTAGTGTCGGTCGCAGCTGGAGAGTCGGCCACTCTGCACTGCACCCTGACCTCTCTGCTCCCTGTGGGTCCCATCGAGTGGTTGAAAGGGGAAAAGCCAGACCAACAGTTGATCTACAGTTCCCGAGGAGGCCACTTCCTTGGGGTAACACCCGTGGCAGACACCACAAAAATAAACAACATGGACTTTTCCATCCGCATCAGCAACGTCACCCCTGCAGACGCCGGCACATACTACTGTGTGAAGTATAAGAAAGGGTCTGTAGTGGACGTGGAGTTTAAGTCTGGACGAGGCACTGAGCTGTCTGTGCGTGGTGAGTATGGCGAGGGGCCTCCTTTGTCCCCTCCTGTGTGACAATAGGTCAGTAACAGCCCTCCTTTTTTGAGTAACCTCTAAGAATCAGGGAGTTCTGGTTGCTTATTTCCATGGTCTGATGTCACCCCATCTATAATTAGGCTGGAGGCCAGGAGAGGCCGTGCTGGGTGCTCAAGGCCCAGGGCAGGGAATGGCAGGCAATCTGGGCCCCCCAGCCTCCCTGGCTCCACAGCCCTAGCCTTTCCCATCTGGCCTAGCCCTTCGGTTGCACAGATGGGAGCTGACGGTTTGAGTGATTTGCCCAGTCAGAGGCCAGACCTCTCTGCTGCCCCCAGAGAGTGGGTCCCCTCTTCCCCCAGAGAGTGGGTCCCCTCGCAGTGCCATATCTCCTCTCTATGAACAAGATCTGAGAGCCGACTAGGTGTCATCTCCTCTGGGACTGCTGGGAACAGGAGGGCACGGGGAGGCTGAGCTCTGCTCCTCTGTGCTGACCTGCCCTTCCCTGCCAGGAGGACTTTCTAGGGCTAGGAGATTGGAGGGTATTTTTATTTCATCTTCACAAACATCTTGCTGAGAAGAAACTCCTAAGAGGCTTGAGATCCAAGTTTAATCTGAGAGTGCTGCTAGGAGTCAGAGGGTTGCTGTGGTCTCTTGTGTCATTCAGAGACCACTCCCACAGCTCAGAGCAGGGCTGGGTCATGTCAGGATGTCCCCTACTTCAGAGAAGGGGTTCATTCCCATGTGGGTGACTAGGGGTTCCCCCACTCAAGGCACACGGGATATTCAGGTTGGTTTCCTGCCAGAAGCCCAGGACCCCCTTTCCAACTCCTGGGTCCTGAGGTGTCAGTGCATGAGGGGCCTTTAGACACTTGCATCCCGACCCCCATTTACAGACAGGTTGAAGCCAAGAGACCACAAGAGCTTGGGCATGACTCAGCTCTGATTCCTCCCACAGGGTGCTCAGTCCTCCCTGTCAGGCCCTCAGCCACAGTGACACCCTGAATGAGGCAGGAGGGAGGTGGGAGGGGCCGGGAGTTGCAGTGGCCGATGCTGTACCTTCATCATAACCTTTCCCCCTCCTACCAGTGCAGAAAGAGGAGCCGTCTGTCACCAGTTTTCAGATGAGGACACAGAGACTCAGACAGAGGATCAGACTTTTGGAGGGAGGGGAGCCAAGGCCTGGACCCCACCAGCCTGACCCACAGCCCCAGGCTCTGCAATGCCCACTGCACTTGTCAACATGTGGACTGAAGCCCCAGCCTTCCAAAATCTTATTGTTTAGTTCTGCAGCAACTAGAGGAGAAAAAACAATAGTTCGGCTGTAGGTGGGGCTGGCCTTACCTCCCCAGATCAGGAAAACCCTGCATCTGTCCCAGCAGCTGAGCATCTAGAGCCCTTTCTGAGCAGAGTCCACAGAGCAGAAACGCGCACGGTGCATTCACAGTGCCGAGGACTAAGACCAGGAGATGCACTGTCCATACAGGACGAGTGGGGCCCTATGAGCAGGAGTTCACACTCTTCCCTTAAGTCATCAGGGAGTTAGCGAATTCTTTTTATGGTTACCAGGTAACCAGCCTGGGTACCCAAGAGGATGGCTCCTCTCTAGAATTGGTTGTAGTCAAGAATCCCAAAGGGAAGGGAACCAGCAGTTAATGTAATGGCTATGTCACTGGACTCCCACGTAGTCGACCGCGGTTTGTGTCCCAGACCCGGTGGCTTAAAACTCACGCCAGGCACGTGTGTGTGCATGCCCAAGATCCCGAGAGGAGAATGGAGGAGAACGGATTGCGGCATGACCATCCCCCCTGGGGGGTGATTTCTCGCTTTCTGTCTCTATGTCTCTCTCTGTCTGTCTGGCGAGCGCACGCGCCCTATAGCAAAAACCTCTCCAAAAAAAAAAGAATCCCAAAGGGAAGAGGAGAGGTCATGGCCAGTGTTGGGATTGAGAAGATGAGTAACCAGCTCTGTTGACAGACAGTAAAGCCTGGGGACACAAGATGCACACTGGGATGCACCTGGGGAAGGGAGACTGTGCCTTTGTTACTCAGCCTCCATTTTCTCGTCTGTAAGATGGTGATATTCGTGAACTCCTACAGGAGAGTGGAAAGGATTTCAGGTGCTCTCTGTACATCTCCCCTCACAGTGTAAGCGTCCCCGAACTGAGGTGTGATTTAAGGTTGTGTGACCTTGGGTGACCCAGTTCCCTTTGCTGAGGCTCAGTTTCTCCATTTATTGAATGGAGTCAGTTGTTCAATCTTTCCAGAATGTTAGCAGGACACATGGTGAGAGGATAGACCCCCAGGAAGTGATGGGGCTGTTATCTCAAAGCCAGGAACAAGTCTTGGCTCTCTGAAGTTCTATTTTCTCCTCTGCGAAATGGTGATCATGGCCACTGTTTGGGGTTCTGGGAGGCCCGAGGGGTACACATGAAGCCCTGGGGTTGGGTGGGGGGTGATGGTTAGTACTGAGTTAGCAGGGTCATAGGATGACACGGGCTCAAGCCAGTTGCCTGACCCACATCCTGGCTCTGCCACCTCTTAGCCCTGGGACCTCAGAAAGGGCGGGCACTCCACACAGTAGACCTGGGGTCCTGCCCTGTCAATGATGACCCCTTATCACAGGGTCAAGCAGGGACTGGGCAGTTATGTACTCTAAAACGCTTAGGGCGATACCTGGCACATGGCAAATGTTCCGTAAATGTGAGCTTTGCTAAACCCAAGTCATGTGACCTAGGACTTGTCACCTTTTCTTCCCAGGCAGAGGTATAAGTGGGTTGGGATGAGCTCAGGGGATTTGACCCCAGCTATTTGTTAAATCCCATGGATAACTTTGGAAGTTTCTAGACTCTGGAACCATCAGTTGGCATAATGGCTATGTCGCTGGACTCCCATGTAGTCAACTGCAGTTCAAGTCCCAGACCTGGTGGCTTAAACTCACACCAAGCGTGTGTGCATACGTGCCCAAGATCCCAAGAAGAGAATGGAGGAAAAGGGATTGCGGTGTGGCCATCCACCCTGGGGGTTGATTTCTCTCTCTCTCTCTCTCTCTCTCTCTCTGTCTCTGTCTTTCTGGTGAGTGCACGCTCCCTATAGCAAAAACGTCTCCAAAAAAAACAGAGAAAGAAAGTCCTCTGACTCAGATTGCATCCTTGAAATTTAGAGTTAACTGACATGGGCCTAGACACCTGGAGTTTTTAGTTACTCTGGAAGATTCCGAGATACAGTCAGGGCTGAGTATCCCTGAGGTAGACACACTTGGGACTCAGAGGAAAAGCTGCATTTTTCCTTTGGCGAAGGTGGTTCCCACAGTGCTGGGACTTGACATCCACCCCTCAGGTGTGTGTGCCTCAGAATAGCATGTGGGGGGACAGCTCTGTGGAGGTCCCAGTGGCTTTGCAAGGATGCCTCCACAGAGCAAGAGTAGGCCATAAGAACTGAGCAGAGTAGAATAAACTTTTTTTTTTTCTACCAGACAGCTCATGCACGTGCCAGGGAGAAAAAGAGAAAGAGGAAGAGGGAGAAAACACCCTGCAATGGGGGTGTGATCATCTTTTCTCCTCCACTTCTCCATCCTATTGGGAATCCGGGCACACTGGCACATGCCCAGCATGTTCGCAAGCCACCAGGGGCCTGGACTTGAACCCCGTGGTTGGCAACGTGTGATATGCTTCCCTTGACCACTAAGCCATGGAGCCAGCTGCCAACACTTGTGCTGTCTGCTGCCTGGGGACACTTAAGACTGTACGGAGCAAGAGTTAGCAATTTGGAGCCAGCCTTTAGGTTCTGTCCATAGGAAGGAACCACCTCATTCTCTGATTCACCCATGTCTGCACAGGAAGGACCCAGGAAGTGCTCTGCCTCTCAGCGGGCCTGTGTCTGTGCCTCTTGTAATTGAAAAACAGTGGAGAAGTTAACCCCCTTTGGCTTTTTCAGCATCTAGTTACCTTTCTGTTGCAGCCAAAACTTTTTGAAAAAAGAATCCAAATTCAAGACACATAGCTTCCTTTCACGTTCAGAACTTGGCATAAATTAGATGCTACTGCAATATTTGTGGGAAGAATGAAAAGTAAGAAGTAAATTTATAAACACCTGAAGGGAGTGCTCAGGATATAAATGAAGTTTGGCTTCAAGACAGATCCATTTTTCCCATGTTTGTGAAGCATCTTCTGTGTTTTCTCCAAAACCGAAAGGCTTGCATTTGTTTCATGCCAGCTTCACGGCAGCCCTGAGAAGGGAGGGGTGCCTGCTGTTCATTTCACAGATCAGGGCCTCGGCCACACCTCTCTGGGCTGCCCAGCCTGAGTCCAGGTTTCTGGCAGTGCCCGGTGAATACCCTGTATTCAGTTTGAGAATCACTGTCTCCAAGGAGGAAAAGGTGTCAGGAACATGAGCCAGGAACAGTTACTACAGAGAGCGAGACCCATCAGTACTTAGTTCCTGTGCTGAGAAGGGAATTCCCTGGAGCAGAGAAGAGCTTTGGTACTCAGGCCTGGCATGGAATCGGGCCTGTCCTTCCCCATTGTCTGCTCACAGGCAGGTCTGCTCACCTCTAGAATCCTCATGTCTTGCTATGTACAGTGAGGGAGGTCGGGCCTCTGCCCCCACACTGTATTATTAGAGGGATTCCTGAATAATATACAGGGAGGACCTTAGCAGTGTCACCCTGCAGTTGGTGAAGGTCATGGCAGTCACGACTCCTATTCATGAATGCTCCTTTGTAGCCAAGCCCTCTACACCTGTGGTATCAGGCCCCGCGGCGAGGGCCACGCCTGCGCACACGGTGAGCTTCACCTGCGAGTCCCATGGCTTCTCCCCTAGCGACATCTCCCTGCGATGGTACAAAAACGGAAATGAGCTCTCAGACGTCCAGACCACCGTGGACCCCGCAGGAGAAAGCGTCTCCTACAGCGTCTCCAGCACGGTCAATGTGATGCTGGCCCCCAGGGACGTGCATTCTCAGATCATCTGCGAGGTGGCCCATGTCACCCTGCAGGGGGGCCCACCTCTCCGTGGGACCGCCAACCTGTCTGAGATCATCCGAGGTAGATGACCCTCAACCCAGCCTCAGCCCACCCTGGCGGCCATCCTGCTCCCCCCTGGCTTTTACTCCAGGGCTGAATAGCCTGGAATCTCCTTCCTACAGCCCTGCCACCCGTCATGCCCCGGCTATGCTGCTTATTACCCTCATTTCCATCCCATGGGCCAAGCACCATGCTAGAAGCTTCCTTTATTTTCCCAGTAAGAACAGTTAGAGAGCACTGATTGTGCTCCGTGGTTTCATCTAATATTTTGCTGCAGTTATTATGTTCCACCTGCATGCAGGGGTTGTGCCCATTGACTTCAGTATTACCCTAACAGGAGCTAGCAGACCTTGAGCACCTACTGTGTGCTGGGCATCGTGCTCAGTGATCTTATTCACACACAAGCAATCCCCTCAGGGTCTGAGCATCAGCCGCATGCCTGGCCCTGTCCTGGGTGGTGCCCTGGCTGTGGTAAGTTATGGAGCCCCTTTCCTGTCGTGCGTCTGTGCCGTGAGGTCAGAGCTCTGTCCTGGGCCGTTTCAGTTCCACCCACCATGGAGGTCACCCAGCACCCCATGATGGCAGCAGGGAACCAGGTGAATGTTACCTGCCATGTGGAGAAGTTCTACCCCCGGAGCCTACAGCTGACCTGGCTGGAGAATGGAAACGTGTCCAGAACAGAAATAGCCTCGACCCTCACAGAGAACAAGGATGGGACCTATAACCTGACCAGCTGGCTCCTGGTGAACTCGTCTGCCCACAGGGAGGGCGTGGTGCTCACCTGCCAGGTGGAGCATGACGGGCAGCCTGCGGTCAGCAGAAGCCATACGCTCAAGGTCTCTGCCCACCAGAAGGAGCCGAATCCAGATGCCGCCCCGGGTGAGGGCTCTCTCTAATTGACCAAGATCATTTTAATATTCATCTTTTCCTTGAAAAAACTTGTCTTTATATGATAGAGTTTGTGTCCATGCCCCTTGACGTGCAAAACCAAGAGAGGGAGATGAATATCCTCCACACGGTCTAGACATGCAGAGATCCCCTTCCTCCTGTGCTTCAGCCCATAATATCTTTGTCAATTGCACATCCCAGAGTGCTGCTGGTAACCAGGCCAAGGATTAGAACTGTTGTCCTTATATGGGATTCAGAGTCTCTTGAACAATTAATTATTGCTGCACTTTGGAGCCAGTCTAAAATTTATCTTAAATTATTTATTAAAAGTAATAGTTTATATTTATTACAAAATACTCTAGAAATTTATAAATATTAAGTAGAATTTATTTTTAAATTTGCTATAGGGCTCTTGTACTTCCTGGTGAGATAGAGAGAGAGAAATAGAGAGAAAGCGAGAGAATGGGAGATTGCACCTCTCAAGAGGGATGATCACACCACAGTCTCTTCTCCTCCACTTTCCTCTTGATATTTGGCCATGCAAGCGTACGTACCCAGCATGTCCCTCAAATTGCCCGGCTCAAGACTTGAACCTTGCAGTCAGCCAAATGGGATTCAGCCATCTTACTGCCATTCAACCTTGCTGGCACCAATATTAAGTAGAATTTAAAATGAACTTCCCATCCTCCAAATCTCTCACTCCAAGAGTCATGCTGGGTAGACATCTTTGTAAATCTTTTACAAATGTATATTCAAGGAAGGGGGACCACTCTGCACAGTGTCCTACTCTTGCCTCTTTCACCTCTCAGTTGTTGTATTCAGGATTCCTCCTCAGCCCACCTGCCTCCCTCTCCTCCTTTCTACCCTCTGCCTGGTCTCTGCTCCAGCCTGGACTTTCCTATGTGCACCTGTAACCTCACCCCAGCAGCCTCTAGGATCTACTGTTTGACATGTGGAAAGAGACACCTGAGGACATGAGTTGAGTCTGGAGCAGGCACTCTGGTGTCTCTGCATGGTCACTTCATGGGCCTCCTTTGCCTCCTGATTTGTGAGCATTGACCAACAGTCATCTCATGTGCTCTCTGCATATTGACCGTGTGTGAATTTCAATTCATGGATGGCCTCCTTTGCTGCTGCCACTGTCCTGTGAGTTCGGAGGTTTACAGGGAAAACAAACAAACAAACAAACCAGGAACTGAGCATGGGGTGTGTGTGGGTGGGGTGTGTGGTGGTTGAAGACTTCCTGTCATTAGACCAGGTAATAGGTCTAAAATAAAGAGGGCAGCCCAAAGTCCTTGAGGACAGGGTCACCACCAGCCTACAAGCAACATGTGTTCATTAGAGAAATGTTAGCGTCCTGGCTGTGGTGGTGGGAGCCGAGTTATGGAGCCCCTTCCCTGTCGTGCGTCTGTGCCGTGAGGTCAGAGCTCTGTCCCGTGCCTTTTCAGTTCCTCCCACCATGGAGGTCACCCAGCACCCCATGATGGCGGCAGGGAACCAGGTGAATGTTACCTGCCATGTGGAGAAGTTCTACCCCCGGAGCCTACAGCTGACCTGGCTGGAGAATGGAAAGGTGTCCAGAACAGAAATAGCCTCGACCCTCACAGAGAACAAGGATGGGACCTATAACCTGACCAGCTGGCTCCTGGTGAACTCGTCTGCCCACAGGGAGGGCGTGGTGCTCACCTGCCAGGTGGAGCATGACGGGCAGCCTGCGGTCAGCAGAAGCCATACGCTCAAGGTCTCTGCCCACCAGAAGGAGCCGAATCCAGATGCCGCCCCGGGTGAGGGCTCTCTCTAATTGACCAAGATCATTTTAATATTCATCTTTTCCTTGAAAAAACTTGTCTTTATATGATAGAGTTTGTGTCCATGCCCCTTGACGTGCAAAACCAAGAGAGGGAGATGAATATCCTCCACACGGTCTAGACATGCAGAGATCCCCTTCCTCCTGTGCTTCAGCCCATAATATCTTTGTCAATTGCACATCCCAGAGTGCTGCTGGTAACCAGGCCAAGGATTAGAACTGTTGTCCTTATATGGGATTCAGAGTCTCTTGAACAATTAATTATTGCTGCACTTTGGAGCCAGTCTAAAATTTATCTTAAATTATTTATTAAAAGTAATAGTTTATATTTATTACAAAATACTCTAGAAATTTATAAATATTAAGTAGAATTTATTTTTAAATTTGCTATAGGGCTCTTGTACTTCCTGGTGAGATAGAGAGAGAGAAATAGAGAGAAAGCGAGAGAATGGGAGATTGCACCTCTCGAGAGGGATGATCACACCACAGTCTCTTCTCCTCCACTTTCCTCTTGATATTTGGCCATGCAAGCGTACGTACCCAGCATGTCCCTCAAATTGCCCGGCTCAAGACTTGAACCTTGCAGTCAGCCAAATGGGATTCAGCCATCTTACTGCCATTCAACCTTGCTGGCACCAATATTAAGTAGAATTTAAAATGAACTTCCCATCCTCCAAATCTCTCACTCCAAGAGTCATGCTGGGTAGACATCTTTGTAAATCTTTTACAAATGTATATTCAAGGAAGGGGGACCACTCTGCACAGTGTCCTACTCTTGCCTCTTTCACCTCTCAGTTGTTGTATTCAGGATTCCTCCTCAGCCCACCTGCCTCCCTCTCCTCCTTTCTAACCTCTGCCTGGTCTCTGCTCCAGCCTGGACTTTCCTATGTGCACCTGTAACCTCACCCCAGCAGCCTCTAGGATCTACTGTTTGACATGTGGAAAGAGACACCTGAGGACATGAGTTGAGTCTGGAGCAGGCACTCTGGTGTCTCTGCATGGTCACTTCATGGGCCTCCTTTGCCTCCTGATTTGTGAGCATTGACCAACAGTCATCTCATGTGCTCTCTGCATATTGACCGTGTGTGAATTTCAATTCATGGATGGCCTCCTTTGCTGCTGCCACTGTCCTGTGAGTTCGGAGGTTTACAGGGAAAACAAACAAACAAACAAACCAGGAACTGAGCATGGGGTGTGTGTGGGTGGGGTGTGTGGTGGTTGAAGACTTCCTGTCATTAGACCAGGTAATAGGTCTAAAATAAAGAGGGCAGCCCAAAGTCCTTGAGGACAGGGTCACCACCAGCCTACAAGCAACATGTGTTCATTAGAGAAATATTCATTCTCTGCTGACCATTGCTACAAAGACCTTCATTTGGCCAGAATTGACCTTTCTATGCCTCAAACATGAATTATGCCTCCTCAAATACCAGTAGGAGAGGGTCTCTACTCCAGGAGACTTCTCAAAGGCCTGGTTCCTCCCAGCATATCCTATGGTGACGGCCTCATCGGCTGAGTCAAACTGGGTGACTGATGTGCCCATGTCCCCGCCTGCTTGCTGAGTAAAAGCAGGAAGAGAGGGAGAACAATTTCCCAATTTCCCTCATAAGAAGATGAATACAAGTGCATGATCACATCCACCACTAGCGTGGCCATGTGCGAATGTCCAGACACAAGTGGAATTGGTAATGAGATGTCAAAAGATTAAGGACATTTTTAAAAATAAAACTAGTAACACTTTCACAGTGAATAAAATTAACAATAATTCCTTTGTATCATCTAAACTGGAATATGCATTTAAATATTCCCAAATTCACTTAATAGCTTTTGTGGGAGTACCATATTTGGGTTTATTTCATCTCTAAATGCCTAGATTTTTTTTGGGGGGGGGATGAAAATTTTTGGACCTTAAGAAATCGTTTTGGAGCTTTCAAAATCAGAGCTCAGATGTTTAATCCTTTAGAGCTATTTAGCTTATTTAGATTATAGTGGACAAATTGTGATGGCTGTGCTCTCTGTGGAATTTTTTTATCTGTTTTATGGCATGAAGGTGTCTTACAATATTTCCCCTTAACGGACTTCCTCTCTGTCAGTACAGCATCATCCAGGTACATTGAGTTTGGGTTTGTTTGTTGATTGCTTTGCTTTAAAGGTGGTGGAAAGGTCTGAGTCTTCATATCTTTGATTTCTTTGCCTTTTAAGAACCCAAATGTTCTTCTCCCCTTCTTTTTCCTTCTCCCTTCACCATTCAGTCACTATAGAGTAGTTTTTCATTCCTGTTTTGCTTATCTCCCAGAGAAGTAAAGCACTAGAGATTCTGTCTGTTATTGATAATAGTCCTGCCTCCCTGTGTGGGGTTCCTACTGCTGCTATGATGAGCTGTCTGTCATACACAGCGGCTTTAACAATACACATTGATCATCTAATAGTTCCGGAAGCCCAGAGTCTAAAGTCAGTGGACAGAGCTGTCTTTCTTCTGGAGTCTCTAGTGGAGACTTAGTTCCTCACCTTTTCTATTTTCTAGAGGCTGTTGGCCTTCCTTGGAAAATGACCTCCATCATTCTGATCTCTACCTCCACCCTCATGTGTCCTTCAATTCTCACTCTCCTGTCTCCTTCTTTCACTTGCCCTGTGAACCCACACCATCATATCCTCCTCACCTTAGCCTGAGACAGAATGGGTGAGAACTAGAAGCCTCTTCACTCTCCTTCTATGATGGGTTGGAACCAGAGAAGGATGCTGGTTTTAAAACTTCGCTATTGTGATGACCCCAGATAGCCTCAGATGGAGTATGCGGAGGCCTCGTGGAACAGAGTCCCAGGTCACCTGCACTAACAGCTCCTTTCTCTTGAATTCCAGGTACAGAGTCACCTAGTTCCATTTTCATAGTTCTCCTCCTGGTCCCCAAGGTGCTGCTGGTGGTCAGTGTCTCTGCCATCTATGTCCACAGGAAGTGGAAGGACTGACTGTAAGTTGTGGGTGGGGTAGGGGTGCCAAGGGCTCAAGGTCTCAGCAATAGTGAAGACTTCAAGAAGCTTCTCTGGACTCTGCCAAGCACCTCCCCTGCCAGGACATCTGACGGCCCTCAGCTCCTGTGAACCCATCACACAGTCCTTGATGCCCCAGAGCTGGATCTTCATCCATGAACCTGAGCCGAGCCCTGGGCATAGCGCTGAGGACCAACCCAGGACACCTCCCTTGATTGTGGGGATCAAGACCAGGATATCACATCAGCCTAGCTCTCAGCCAACCTCCTGGAATTGGCCACAAGCACACGTTCTAGTCAGTGCTCTCAGGAGTTGGCCTGTCTTTCAGATTTCTGTCTCCCCCAACACCTGGCCCTGTTAAGGCTCTCCATCTCTGTTGCCTCTTAATAATACAAGTGAACCTACATCCCAGTTGCTCAGAATAATAGTATTCACTTTTTAGTTTGCTGAAGGGCCTTCTCCTCACACCGTAACAAATTTTTCCTCCTCCACCTATGATGAGAGAACTAGTTCTCTGATCCTTCGGTCTTCCCAGCCCTGTGGCTCATGGTACCAATGCTGTGACAGGCCAAAGCTCTGGCTTCATCCTTGACTCTGTTTTATACCCTCTATCAAATTCTGCCTTTGAAATCCTTATGTCCAGTGGTGAGCTGGTAAATATTTTTGTTGGTTTGTTTGTTTGTTTGTTTTTTAGAGAGAGAGTTTTTCCTCAGCTATGTCATAATCTACACACTTCTCACCCCCACCACTGCCCCTGGTCCCAGCCAGTATCATGTGTTCCCAGACCAATGCTGGAGCCCCCAACCAGTTTCTCTGTTTCCATCACAGCAAATTTCTGAAAATATCAGTCAACTGATATTTATCTTTCCCCCCAACGTATCTGTCTTTTATTCTCTTCTTTCTTACTAGTCTGAGTTCAATATCATTTTATTAAAAGCACCTCCCATAAACGTCTTCAATAAAATATTACTAGCTCTCTCTCAAACTTTTAATCTGATTAATCATTTTTATGAAGACTTATTAACATTGGTATTTTTTATTTAATTTTATTTTAGTTTCTTTTACACATTCAATCACGTGTCACTTCGCTTGTAAAGTGGATGTTCCAACATGAATACATTTCTCACCAGTCCAGGAGGGGATACTATACACGTTATCATCCACAGATAATAACCCATTTCTTTGTCCCATAAATGGTATTTTAAACACATAATCTTTCCTTTGCACACTGTGCAGGATCGCACATGTGGTGGTGGCCACTGGACCCCTGGAAAGTGATCTCCATAATCAACGGGGAAAAATCATTTTTGTGACCTTCATATGACACTGTCATATTGTTTGTTACAAATCTTCTGGTTTCATTTGTTTGTGTATATATTTTCTTCAGATATTAATATTGATAAAACTCTTTGGCTAAGCTGAACTTTCTGAAGTATTTCGTGGTTTTATTTTTTTCCTATTTCAGCATGTCTACTCATTAAATCATTAGGTACTGGTGTGTTTCAAAGTACTATGCATTGCTTTGCTATGGTCCTATGTGCTGTACCTGGGAAATTTCTCTCACCTCATAACTCAGCTCACTCATTTACTGTTTTATTATGGAGAGTCAGCTAATCAACTTATCTGCGTAACATTTTAAATTTAGCTTTAATTATGTTTTTGTTTTCAAAGTTCCTGATTAGTTGTTTTTCCTATGTGCATGCTCTTATTTTATGTCTGCCTGTTCTTGCTTTATAACTACCTGTTTTTGTTCCATGTACACGGTTAAACAATTTACTTTTCTTTCTTTGTGTATTTAAAGAAGCCAAGTATATCCTTTTTAAAGACCTTTTCATATTGCACTTTTTCCATATTTTCTCAGGAGAAATTTTTTTCGTTGTTCTTTTTTGTTTTCAAGTTATTGATGCTTTTGAATTTGTTATGACTTCTTGTTGTATTGTTGTTTCCCAGATCTTAGGTGATTCCTACGTATACAGCCCTCTGTTAAATAGTGATGTGTCACGTGATCATAGCTAACCAGGGTCTTGTGGAGCTGGCTACCTGTCCTACCCTGCTGTAGCGGCTGCTTATAATTTAGACTATGGTTATCTTCTGCTTTCTCTTGAAGATGCTTCTCCATTCCTGTGAAAGGGGGAGTTTAAAGTAAAGACTCTGGAGTGTGGCAGTCTATGTTTCCATCCTGAAAACCTGGTGACCTCAGCTAATTCATTACTCTCCTGGAGTCCCCAGTTTTCCCACCTATAAGATGAGGTTCACAATAGAGATTACTTTGTGGGATTAGTGTGGACATTCTTCTTTAACATGCCAGAAGGTACATGTGCTCGCACAGAGAGTGAAAGAAAGAAAGGCAGAGAGAGAAAGCGAATGCTAAAAGCACCATCCCTGGGACATGGTCACACTGAAAACCCTCCCCTCCATTTCTCACTCCTTCCAGGGTTTGGGGCATTCATGCACACATACCCAGGATGTTTCTCAAGTCGCCGGGTCTGAAACTTGATCTGCACGGTCAGACATGTGGGGGTCTAGCTGTCTCAATCACCAGGCCACAAGCTGGACCCAGATTGGAGATTTACTGACTTAGCTTTTCATACAGTGCTAGAAACAGTGTCTGGAGCATTGTGCATGTTCAAAACCTGATAGATGAAACTACTCCTTCATATCATACACAGATTCCTGTCTTCTCTTGAAATGTAATTAGATATTTATAATACACTTTAATCATTTTTCTTTTTCCTTTCTATGAGTTTTGCAACAGATCAGGAAGATTTCACCATGTGCACATCTGCCCTATTGAAAGATTGCAAGATGGTACCTGTCACAATTTCATTTGACAAATACTAATGAAAGAGAAGGGACCTGAAGCCTAGCATGTGCCCTAATTTTCTAGTCAAATCCATGATGGGGAGAGAACATTTCTCCTGACCAGGACTATTTCTAAGACAAACTCCTTATAGGATACAAGACCGACTGCTTCCTGTACACACAAAATTTAGTATAACCACAATTTATTGGCTATGTTAAATGTAAGTAAAGAATTTTCCATACAGTGTGTTGTGTTCCAACTACATCTCCACAGGGTGCATGCTCTAACTTCCCTTTACGTGTGATTGAACTGAGGCTCAGAGAAGTCAAGTGCCATATTGAAAGTCACACAGTTGGATATGGCAGGTGGCAGAGTAGAACATGTCTTTCTGATTCTCTTACTGACAGGGATCTAAGGGTGTGGATTTGATAAGGAGAAAAAGAAACCCCAAAGGCACTTACTTGAGCCAGGCAGGGGAATGGTGATGGAGAATTTTCGGAAAGAGGGGTGCCGGGTTCACATCTCAGTGTGGTCCAGATATTTACTGGAAGGTTGTATCTTCCTCACCCTACACTCTGCCCTACCCAGCTCCAGTCACTCACACATAGGGGTGTGTAGAAAGGCACGCACCTCAGGCAGCTATACCTGACTCCTAGTTGTATCCACTGCAGCTGATACTGCCACGTTTACACCATGACACAACCAAGTCCTTATGGGGGATGGCTGCCACCTCCATAGATGAACAAAAAGTGGGATGCAGAGAACCCTGGGAAAATGACTCATTTCGGTGTGGCAGAGCAGGTCCAGGATCCCACATGAGTGGGGTCCCAAGAGGTCCAAGGGGCTGGGAGAAAGCCAGCCATGAGCAACTGGCTCTAAGAAGTGGGAGTTCACTTCAGCAATATTTGAGTTTCCTCTTCCTCTGGAATCAATACTGCCTGCTCTGCCCGGTTTCTATTTTAAAATCTAGAAACAACTTACTGTCCCACACCATCACAGTCCCTTCCTCTTGTATCACGTGATGCAGAGCTTTCCTTCTCTCCGCAGAGTACAGTGTGGGCTCTCCCAGCACAGACTCCTGGATCAGACAGGCTCCTTAGGTCTTCAGGATGCCCGTCCCTGCCTCTCGGCCCCACCCTGCTCCTTCTTTCCTGTTGCTGATGCTACTGCTGAGATTCACAGGTGAGTGTCGCCTGGGGGTAGAGTCCCCTCTCTGTGTCCCAGGAGCCACCCTGGCCCTAGACAGTCAGGAGCTTCAGATAAATACAAGTGTTGACAAGGACTGGCCATTACCTGAAGGCATAAAATCAGGGACCCAAGTGTCATCTCTGCGGATCCCTCACCTGGAGCAGGTACAAGAGAAATTAAATGATGCTTACAAAAACAACAATTACTTACATCTTGGTAATATTCCTGTAGATGAAGCACTTTTTCAGAGAAATTGTTGTTTAAATCCTAACAAGTCTGAGGCTGCAAAGGCAAGGTGACCTGCCCAGTGGTGCAGAGTGAGCTCAGAGACACCCTGACCAGGTTCTGTCTCCAAACCCAGGGCTCACTGGTCACTACCCTAAGGTTGTAGAGTCTGAAATGGTGCCCACTTGAGTTGGGCTGGGTCAGTGCTTCCTAGGGCCTATCAGCCGCCATCTATCCTACCTCTGGCTCCTCACTCTGCCCTCTGTCCCCACAACCCTCCCTGCTCTGTGATGTCTTCCCACCTGTTCCTCTGTGGCCTCTTCTGCTTAGAGAAGTTCCACACCTTCTGCTGGTGGTTCCTGCACTGGGTGGCCTGGGCTGCCACAACACAGCAGCACAGACCAGGTGGCTGAAACAACAGGCATTTTCTTTATCAGTTCTGGAGGCCCGAAATCCAAGGTCAAGCTGGAGGGCAGGGTTGTTCGTTCTGTGGCCTCTGACCTTGGTGTGTAGATGGTCGCCTTCTCCCTGTCTCTTCACATGATCTTTTTTTCTGCCTATGTCTGTGTTTTAAATCTCTTCTTTTTATGAGGGCTTTGGGCTCACTGGATTAAGGTCCACCCTGCTGACATCATTTAGCCATAGCTACCTCTTAAAAAACTGTATCTCCAAAGACAGTCACTGGGGTAAGGTTTTGACAAGTGTATGTTGTGGGGACACGGCTCAGCCCTTAACAGGTTCCGGTAACCTCCCTGGTCTGCTCGTCTTTGTGCAGAGATTCTACTTATCCTCCTACCCAGGTCAGGCAGGATTGGAGGGCCTTCCCTAGTACAGCTTGGGAGAGGCTATGCTCACAGCTCCTACAAAGGCTGCCTGTCCTCACCTCCTTCTCCAGCCATGGAGCCAGCCCCACTGTCTCAGCCCTGGGCACAGCAGCCACCCCCGCCCCCTCCAGCTCTCCATTTGGTCCTGCTGTGTCCCACGTCACAGGTCCTAGTAGGCAGCGGTCACCCTTGGTAAATTATTCATGCTTCACACACACTGCACCCAAATGACACCAGGAGCAGTCACTGAGGCAGGGACTCTTCTTAGCACACTGTTTAATTTGTTCATCTAATGTTCACCATGTCCCACCAAGACTGCCACTGCTATTATTTCTCAGTGGAACATGGGGCTACTGAGGCAAAGAGAGGAA